CAAGGTTCTAAATCAAAAAGGCACAAAATTATTTTGAGGACAAGTCCCCACTCTGCCTCTTAGGCTCCTGACATCCAACTCATTACTGAATTCAAAACTTGCTTATGGTTTAGTGGTTCCTCAAAAATGACTAACATGTGACTCAGCAATTGCACTTCTGGGTGTATATTCCAAGAAAGCAGGAACTCAGAGAGACATTTGTACATCCATGTTTTTTAAAAAAAATATTTGTTTGACTGTGTCGGGGTCTCAATTGTGGCATGGGGGACCTAGTTCCCTGACCAGGCCTTGAACCCAGGTCCCCTGTATTGGGAACTTGGAGTCTCAGTCCCTGGACCACCAGGGAAGTCCCTGCATGTCCAGAGTTCACAGCAGCATTATTCACAGTAGCCAAGAGGTGGAAGCAACCCAAGTGTCCATCAGTGGATGAATGGATGGACATACTGTGATGCATTCTACAATGGAATATTAGAAAGCCTTTTAAAAAAGAGAGAGAGAGAGAGAGAGACCTTCTGACACACACTCTTCTGTGGATGAATCTTGAAAACTCTATGCTGAGTGAAATGAGCCAGGCACGAAATTACAGAAATTTCAGGGGCGGGGAGTTAAATGTTTAATGGGTACAGAATTTCTCATACTTAACACCACTGAACTGTACCCCCTCAAAGTACTTAAAATGAAGATTTCCCTGGTGGTCCAGTGGTTGAGACTCTTTGCTCCCACTGCAGGGGCTGTGGGTTCCATCCCTGACTGGGAAACTAAGATATTGCATGCCGTGTGGTGTGGCCAAAAAAAAAGATTAGCAAGCTCACTTCAGCAGCATGTATACTAAAATTGGAAAGATAGAGAGATTAGCCTGGCCCCTGCACAAAGATGATATGCAAATGCCTGAATCATTCCATGTTTAAAAAAAAATAAGAAAAAAGATAGGGAGATGATCCTAGTGGATTCAAGGTAATCACAAAAGTCTTTAGGGACTGCCTGTGGCTTAGTGGCAAATAACCTGCCTGCCAATGCAGGAGACATGGGTTCAATCTCTGATCCAGGGTGATTCCCACATACCGTGGAGCAACTATACCCATGTATGACAGTTACTGAGCTTGTACTCTAGAGACCAGGAGCCACAACTACTGACCCCACGTGCTGCAGCTACTGAAACCTGTGTGGCTAGAGCCTGTGCTCCACAAAGAGATGCCCGGGCATCACAACTATAGGGGAGCCCCCACTTGCCACAACTAGGAAAAAGCCTCACAGCAATGAAGACCCAGCACAACCAGAAATAAATAAGTAAATAAAAATAAAAAGAGTACAGACTTTAAAATAAAAAAGGTCTTACAAGTGAAAGAGGAGAGCAGAAAAAGAAGTCAGAGTGACATGATTGATGTCATTTTTGTCATTTTTTGAGGGGGAGTAGGAATTTGTTTACTTGGTTGCACTGGGTCTTCGTTGCAGCCTACAAGATCTTTACTTGTGGCATGTGGGATCTAGTTCCCTGACCAGGAATCGAACCTGAGTCCCTCTGCATTGGCAGCTCGGAGCCTTAGCCATTGGACAGCCAGGGAAGTCCCCATCTTTGCCATCTTTGAAGATGGAAGGAGGTGGCTATGAGCCAAGGAACGGAGGCAGCCCCGAGAAGTTGGAAACAGAGGAAATGGATCCTACCCGGAACATCCAACAGCCTTGCCAGTGCCTAGATTTCAGCACAAAGTGACCCATGTCAGACTTCTGACCTGTGCAAGTGTAAGGTAATCTGTTTGTGTTGAAGCCACTAAATGTGGTGATTTGTTAGAGCAGCTCCAGAAAATGAATCCACTCTGTTGGTCCTCCTAGCCCACTCACATCGTTACACTTTAAAATATATATATATTTATTTTTGGTTGCACTGGCTTTTCGTTGTTGCGTGTGGACTTTCCCTATCTGTGGCGATCCAGGGCTACTCTTCCGCTGCAGTGGGGGGCTTCTCACTGCAGTGGCTTCTCCTGTTGCAGAGCACGGGCTGTAGGCGCAAGGGCTCAGTAGCCGTGGCACACAGGCTTAGTTGCTCCTCGGCTTCTGGGATATTCCTGCATCAGGGATTGAACTGGTGACCCCTGCATTGGCAAGCAGATTCTTATCCACTGTTGTTGTTTAGTCGCTAAGTCATGCCCAATTCTTTGTGACCCCATGGAATGTAGCCCGCCAGGCTCCTCTGTCCATGTGATTTCCCAGGCAAGAATACTGGAGTGGGTTGCCATTTCTTTCTCCAGGGGATCTTTCTGACCCAGGGATTGAACCCAGGTCTTCTGCTTGGCAGGCGAATTCTTTACCACTGAGCCACCTGGGAAGACTTCTTATCTGCTGTACCCCCAGGGAAGTCTCCATTATCACATTTTGTTTAGTGAAACATTTTGGGTGGGATTCTGTTTGCCACTGAGACTCAGCCAATCCTGCTTCTGGGAGCTTACTTTTTAGGTAGGATGCCTGCCCTTGTGGAGCAATGGTGCAGGAGGGTAGTTCTCCCAGCATTGCTTGTAAAAGCAGACGAACAAACCTGCAAGCGTTAATTAAAAAAAAAAAACCGCTGGTGAAATAAATGCTGAGAGGAGCACATACTACCAGAGTAGAAAGAATGAGGAAGTGCTGATGGACAGTTAAGAAAAGATCTGCGGGGTCACAAAGTTCAATGATAAAAGCAAGATGCGTCACTGACTGCAGTGTGTTATGCTTTGTGTAAAAAGGAAAGGAAGGATAAGATTACATTTGATCTTACAAAGAGAAACCCTGGAAGGAGTCACAAGACACCAGAGACAGTGGGTTCCCGTGGCTGGGGGCAGGGAACCAGATTTTTTTTTTTTTTTTTTTTGCCTTGACTTGCAGCATGTGGGATATTTTGCGTGTGTGTGTGTGGCTGTGCTGGGTCTTTGTTGCTGTGTGGGCTTTTCTCCAGCTACAGCAAGCAAGGGGCTACTCTCTAGCTGCACTGCCCAGGCTTCTCACTTGCCGCAGAGCACAGGCTCTAGTGGTACTGGCTTCAGTAGTTTCAGCAGATGGGCTCAGTAGGTGCGGTTCCCAGGTTCTAGAGCACAGGCTCAATAGTTGTGGTACATGGGCTTAGTTGCTCCACGTCATGCCCAGTCAATCTTCCTGGATCAGGGATTGAACCCTTGTCTCCTGCATTAGCAGGCATTCTTTACCGCTGAGCCACAAAGGAAATGGGGCATGTGGGATCTTGGTTCCCCAACCAGAGATGTGACCTACACCCTCTGCAGTGTAGGCCCAGAGTCTTAACCACTGGACTGCCAGGGAAGACCCTTCACTGTGTATCTCAATATCATTTGATGTTTTAAATGTTAAACAGTGCTAGGGTGAGGTATGTGTGGCATGAAAGCAAAGAGGCCACCAGCTCAGTAATCAAGATAAATATTTTAATGTAATATTTTCCAAAAACACCATTAATGTGAAAAAAAATCCATGGTGAACAAAATATTGAAATTTTAAGTCAAGGATCAGTAACAGCAGTGCTGAGTTGTACTGGAGGCCGAGGTGAAAGGAAATACCAGAAATGCAGATTCTACCTCTGAAAGTTTTCATGGTAAAGAATTAACAAGTTCACAAATTTGAATTGATCTTGGATGAACGAGGTTTAGGAGGGTCTCCCCAATCCTCTCCAGATCCCCCACCTGCCATTTTTAAATACTTGAAAAATCTTTATTTTTCAGCCATGTATGTGGTGTATGGGATTTTAGTTCCCAGACCAGGGATTGAATCCATCCCCTCCCAACCCCCCCTCAACTGGAAGCACAGAGTCCTAACCATTGGACCATTGGGGAAGTCCCAGCCATTTTAATCTTTATGAAAAGCATCGGGCAACACCACTTGTTTGCAGTTCACTATTGCCCTCTGGTGGCAATCAGCTTGGGCACAAAGGCATTCGCTGAGCGCCAGAATCCGTGAGGGTCACTGGGATCATTCTAGGACCAAGACTCAGTTTGTGTCCAGGTGGTGCTCACAGCATAAAGGAAACAGCAATACACAGGTTGGCACAGCCAGGCAGGAATATGGCTGGATGTGAGGGAAGACTCAGAAGGCGGGTTAGGGGAGGCTTCCGGGAGGAGGTACCAGAGCTCTGGTCAGACTGAGAAGCACCTGCCAGATGGTGGTATCCCCCAGAAGAGGCGGGCAGTGGGCTTCAACTGGATTCTCAGTTACTTCATGTCTTAAAAACTGTGTCCTTGTTTATACTATTCTTTACCTCTTTCCTGGGGCCCAAATATTACTTCGTAGAGGAAGACTGCAGGGAAGGGTGTTCAGGGTGAGGGACAGGGACATGCCGGGGCCCAGGTGCTAGGCGCACCTGCTCATTATCTCATTCACTCCTCATCACAACCCTGGGAAGAAGGCACGAACATTTCTATCACTATACAGAGATGAATGCTGAGGCTGATTAAGCTGCCCAAGGTCACACTGATGGAGAAGCTTAAAGTGCTCAAGGAGCAGAGAGGAGGGAGTTGGTGAGAGGGCAGTGGGAGGCCATGAGGTGATGAGGGCAGGGAGAGGACCAGGCAGATGGTACAGGGCCCGGTGAGCTGCAAGAACTTAGGCTTCTGCTCTGGGGCAGGATATGCCAGGACTCGTGTTCATAGGCACTTCCTGCCTGTTGGGGTCCAGTGAGGGTGGAGACAGGGAGGAGGCTGCGGGCAGGCGTCCAGGCCAGAGGTGATGGGACCTGGACCAGGGTGGAGAATGAAGGGCAGTGGACAGACTCAAGATCGGTCCTGGAGGCAGAACTGACCCTGTGGAAGGTGAGACACAGTGGAGGGTGGTGCTCCTGAATGGATGGTGGGAGGGGCTTAGAGGAATGGGATGGGCCAGAGACTTCATGGGGGTGGGGTGAGAACTCTTATCCAAAGGTGACCTGAGGAAGGGTTCCAGGTGATGGAAGAGCCTGGAGTGTGGATGGGGGACACAACCCATTTGCTGGAGGGCAAAGGCAGGGGTGTCACGGGCCTAACCGCCAACACTCACAGGTCCCTTCCCACCCCCCCCAGAGAAGAGCTGTGCCCACAGCCCTCGTGACGCCCACAGAGCATCTGAAATCCTTTATTGGAAGATAACTGCTGTTTACTATATAGAAGACTTGACGCGGGCGAACAGCGAGAACAGAGCCCACAGTGACTGGAGCAGGCCCCTTGGCTGGGGACCCACCCCCACCCCATGGACCAACCTGGCAACCTCTGCCCCTCCCTGGATCCCCGGGCCTTTGGCTTAATGCTGATGGGGGGCTGCAGGCAATGAAGCCCCTCTGACTCAAAGCAAAGACTTGGATGAGGGCTGGGGGGGAGGGGGGCGGTGGAAGGAGGGTGGCAGGGCCCCTCCAGACTAGGTTGGGGAGCAGCAAAAGCAGAGGAAGCCAGGACCTGGGGAGATGGCATCTATTTTTGTTTCCTGAAAAGGGGTGCACAGGGGCCTGCGGCAGCAGGGACAGGTCACGCGCTGACATCCTTCTCGTCGCCTGACTTGGGGGTGGCTTCCAGCAAGGGGTCCCCGGGACCCGCCTCCTCCCCCTCCTTGGCCTCGCTGGACTTGGAGTTGGGGACCCAGAGGCCTGAGTCGATGCAGCGCTGCATGTGGTACTTCGCGTCCTGTGGGGAGAAGGGTGGGTGGGTGAGGCTGGGCTGCCGCCTGCTGGGGGCACGCCCCGTCCCCTGCACATCCCCAAGCCCGCTTTCTGCTCTTTCTACATCAGAGCTGTCTGGGATGAGGGAAAACAGTCTGTAATCTGTGCTATCCAACATGGCAGCCAGCAGACGTGGGTGTCTACTGAGTACTTCAAATGTGGTTGGTGCAAGGGAAGGACAGAGCTTGAAATTTGACTTATTATTTTTTTTGATACATTTATGTGGCTGAGCTGGGTCTTAGTTGTGGCATGTGGGATCCAGTTCCCTCACCAGGGATCAAACCTGGGCCCGCTGCACTGGGAGTGTGGAGTCTTAGCCACTGGACCACCAGGGAAGTCCCTTAATTTTACTTAACTTTAGAATTCAAATTTAACTTCCCAGGTGGAACTAGTGGTAAAGAAGTGAAGTGACAGCTGCTCAGTCATGTGCGACTCTTTTCGACCCCATGGACTATATAGTCCATGGAATTCTCCAGGCCACAGGCGGAGTGGGTAGCCATTCCCTTCCCCAGGGGATCTTCCCAACCCAGGGATGGAACCCAGGTATCCTGCATTGCAGGCGGATTTTTACTGCCTGAGCCATCTGGGAATCTGAGTGGTAAAGGACCTGCCTGCCAATGCAGAAGACTAAGAGACACCGGTTCAATTCACAGGTTGGAAAAATTCCCTGGAGGAGGAAATGGCAACCCACTCCAGTATTCTTCCCTGGAGAATCCCATGAACAGAGGAGCCTGGTGGGCTACAGTCCATGGGTCACAAAGAGTCAGACATGACTGAAGCAACTTAGCACCAACAATTCATATTTTAAAAGTGTAGGCCTAGAACAAAGGTCAGCAAACTTTTTTTAAAAAATAAAAAGCCAGACAGCAAATATTTTTGGCTTGCAGGCCCTGTGGTCCCTGTCAAAACCTCTCATTCCATCACACCTCAATTTTATGGCTGCGGCACAAAATCAACTATAGACAAGATGAAAATAAACCAGCCTGGCTGCTGCGGTTCCAGCAAAATTTTATTTACAGACAGGCAGTGAATCTTTGACCTTTGAGCCAGATTCTCTGAAGACCCTTGGTCTACATACTTATCCCCATAGAAGCTTCTAGAAACCCTCAGGTGGTCTAGAGACTAAATCCATTTTACAGACGAGGGAACCAGTGTGGCCAACCAGTGAGCCACGCAGCAGGAAGGGGCTTAGACAGAGGTTTATTAAGACACAGGGTTCTTATCCACCAGTGCTGTTACTGCTCCAAAGAGCTGAGGTTCAACCAGCGTCAACCACATACTTGGCCCTCCTCACGGATTTTGTGAGTTAATATGTTTTTTGAGAGATACTGGTTTGATGGGGTAACTGAGACTGTGGAGCAGGCCATTCTGAGTTGCTGGCAAAGGTGGAGTCAGCTGGGTGTGCTCATAAACAGCCACAGGGACAGGGACGCTCAATCTAGATGCTGGGCACATAGCAGCTGCTCAATAAAAGTGAGAGAGCATGGGGCATGAGGCTGGGCTGTCTTGGGTGCCAGCCACTCGGTGACAGAACTTCCCTGGCTCTTTTGAGAAGCCCAGGAGGGACCCTGCCAGCAGCAACATGGTCAGCAGGGCTGGAGGTGGGGGGAGACACACTGCCTGTCCCGGTGGGTGTATGGTTACTCACGGTGGGGTCCATCTTGCTGATGGCGTCTTGGAGCATCTGCACGTCCTTCGCATCAAAGCATTTCTGAAGTTCCTGTGGGTGCAGGGGGCGGGGTCAGGGCCTGGGTCTCAGGGATCCCGCTGACAGCCCACCTGCCACCTGCCAGGGTATGGGGAGCCTCACCTCAGGGAGGGACTCGTAGACCTCGACGGGGTCCAGGCCGCCAGGGCCAAGCCGCTTCTTTCGCTCCTCTTCCTCATATTCCTTCATGGCCTTCTCAATGCGCAGCTTGGCGCGGCCCCGCACGCGGTCTTTGAAAGCCTCTAGTTCATCATTGAAGCCCTCCATGTACTGACGGTCAGCAGTCTGCAGGGGAGGGAGTGTGTTCACCAGGGGAGACTGGGGAGCCCAGGACCCTTCCAATGCAGGTCCTCAGGGACGCCCAGGGCTCCCCACGGCTGGTCCTGAACTAAAGGACGGGTACTCTGGGGCTCAGGCCGCTCCCCTGCTCCGTCTAGCCGCCTCCGTCTTCTCTGAGCGCAACGTTATACCCCTGTGCTTACAATCATCTGACTGAATGTCCCCTTATACTGCACAATCGTGACACCCACCTCGCCCAGGTCTTCCTGTGGAGTCTTGAAGGCACCTCAAACTCAATACAGCTACCCTCGATCATCCTCCGGTCTGCCCCCAATCTCCCCTAGCTCTGCTCTTCAGGGGCTCAGGTAAGAAACCCATAGGTGCCCACGACTCTGGCCCTCACTTAGGTTGGTACTCTCAGCACGTCCTGCCAGCTCGGCTTTCCAAATCTCCATGGGAGCCGCCCAATACACAGCTCCTCTGCGGACTGACCCACCGCTCATGGATGAGATGCTGATCACAGGGGCTTGAGTCCGAGTGGACCCGTGTCTGCCTCCCCCAGTGGACCGTAGGCTGGATCCCTGAGGAGGACCACCTCCCTACCTTGATCTTGGTGAAGAACTGCCGGAAGCAGGCACGGGGGTCCACCTTGAGGCTCTTGGCCAGCTCCAGGATGAACTGCATGACGATGGTCTGGTGAGCCACCTGCTCCATGAGGGCGCATTTCTGCCAAGGGAGGACGTTGCATGGCGTCACCAAGTGGCGGGCTCCTTTCCCCAGCCCTCGTTGTGTGAGAACACAACTTGCACTTAAACCTTATCCGTGGCTTACTTGGACGCTGGTCTTAATATTTAACTTCAATGTAAAATTAATGCCTTTCCCCCCTAAGACAATGGTACAGCTTCCTATGTTAGACTTCAGTGTTTAAAAATGCAGTTTTTTTTCCCTTCATGCCTACTGTAATGTTCTGAACAAACATGAATGATGAAAAGAGAATAAAAAAAATGAGAAAAAAAAAGGCAGAACCTTTTGGGCCCTCCTAACCCCCCACCCCGCAGTGTCTGCACGCACCTCCTCCACCTCTAGGTCAATGCACCAGATGACCAGGTAGTTGGCTGTCTCCTCGCACACCAGGTGGACGTTGTCCGACAGGTACTTCTGGCTGTCATCCCAGCGGCGCAGCATGCCTGCCAAAAGGCGATGGCGAAGTGCTCCAAGGGCCCCCAGGAGGCAGAGGGGCAGCCCTCTCTCATGCGCACCACCCACCTATAGCCCACCCCTGGCCCAACTCACCGAAGTGTTTGATCTGTTTCTCATACTTTTCCACGAAGGTTTTGTGTTTCTGCTCCCTCACCTCCTCCGACTCCTCCTCCGCCTGCTCAGGCTTGGTGTTGACCATGCTCTGTGGTGAGGTGAGAAGGGGAGTGGGCTGGGGCGAGGCTGCGGCCGCGGGGCGCCTCGAACGTGGCCGGGCGGGCCGCGGCCGCAACGCCCATCCCATCCACAGCGGAGGCGGTGACGGCGCTGTGCACATCAGTGTGGCGGGAGCGTGGGCGTGGCAGGTGTGGCCTCGGACTGGGGCCTTCAGGCAGATCAGAGGGAGGGGTACTGGTGGGGTGCCTCACCAACCGGCGTCCCCCGCCCCCCCCCCCACTCCTGGACCTGCGCAGTGCTCCCCACCCCCGCCCGCTGCCCTTCACGCCCAGGCCCCGCCCACCTTGCTGAAGCCGTCCTTGCTGAGCGTGTCCACGTTCCAGGGCATGCTCTTCTCCTTCTTGCGCATCTCCTCCAGTTTTTGCTCCCAGCTCCGCTCCTCCTTGCGCAGCTGCTGCGCCTCAGCCTGCAGCCGCTCCAGCTCGGCCTTGCCGCCTTCGCCCTCGGCCACCTCCAGCTCCTTCAGCTTCCGCTGGCACTCGGCCACCTTGCGCTTGCACTCGCGGCAGCCCCTGTCCAGCTCCTCCTTCTCTTTCTGGAACTGCTCCATGCGCTCCACCCGGGCCTGCGGGTTGGGCATGGCCCGTCATTCTGGGGAACAGCCTGGCCCTGACCCCGGCCCCGGGCTCTCCACAGTCGCACCTGGGATGACCCCAGAGAAGGTCCACACCAACTTCCGCGCACTGGATTCCCGGCTCCTGCTCTCACCTCTAAGGTAGGCCTGAGCTAGGGCGGGTTCCTTCTCTGCGCAGAAGCTTCTACAGCCCCAGCAGTCCAGTGGATAGGAATTCACCTTCCAATGTTGGGGAAAGTGGTTTGATCCCTGGTTCGGGAACTAAGATCCCACATGCCTTGGGGCAACTAAGCCTGCGGGTCACTAAAGAGCCTGTGTACTGCAATACACAGGATCAAATATCTTGCGTGCCACAACTAAGACTCAACACAGCCAAGTATATAAATAAATATTTTTAAAAATAAGAACCTTCTATGACTCCTGCCTCACTCGGAGCAAAAGCCTAAGTCCTCCCCGGAGCCCATAAAGCCAAGCACAACCTGTCCGGTCCCCTCCACGGCCTCATCTCCTCCTGCTCGCCCTCTCCCTCCAGCCACACTGGCTGCCTCACCTTTTCCCGAACTCACTTCAAGCCTCAGGGCCTTTGCACTGCCTCTGTGTTCCCTTGGTCTGAAATGCTCTCTCTTCAGATCCACCCCACCTCCCCAAACCCTCCATCCTCATCAACTTCAAATGCCTCTTAGAGGGAATTCCCTGGTGGTCCAGTGGTTAGGGCTCTGAGGCTCCACTGCTGGGGACCAGGCTTCGATCTGAGATCCTGCAAGTCATGCAGTGCAGTCAAAAAAAAGGTCCCTTCCAGATGAGGCCTTCCTTGATACTGCTGATATCTCCCCCTCTTCTGCTCTGCTTGATCTTCCTCCTCAGCACCTGTCACCTGACAACATTCTGTGACAGTTCTCTCTCCTGCTTTGGGTGCTGTCCACCTCCAAGGAGACTGGCTCCACAAAGGTGGGGATCTGATCACTCTTGTGACTCCAGAGTCAAGAACCTGGTGCACAGCAGGGACTTAAGAAAGACTTGTTGGATCTAATAATCACATGCTGGAAGGAGGCCTCCCCACTCCCCAGGATCCCCCTCCTGCCTGGAGCACCCTCAGTAACACTCAGGCACCCTACCCTGGCCACATGGCCCTCCAGCCACTGCTGTCTTGGTGTCTTACAGGCACCGCCAGCTCTGTGCCCAAGACTGAACTCCCCACCTGAGCTCCCCCAAACCTATTTTTCTGCTGTGTCCTCCCTCAGGGAAGACCCTCGCCCCCGCCTCCTGCCCCTAGCAGAGGCCTGCTGTGAGCCATTCCCTCCCTCTCTGCCACCAAATCACAATGCTTTTCCTTTCCAGTCCTTCCTCTAATGTGCTCCACTCCACGCGCTACACCTGGATCCACAGGGCCCGTTCAGCTGTCTCCAGGCCAGCATGCCTCCGGAGCCCAGCGTGGTACCCACCAGACTCCTGTATACCTCCTATCCTAGACGCTGCTCCTCAGAACTCTTCTGCTGCACCCCAAGCTCGGTGACGGCACGTCATCTCAGCTTCCTCATCCAGACCCCTCGCTGGATCACAGGGCTGTGTCATTGTCCACCCCTGCCCCAGTTCCCCATCACCTCCCCCAGCTCCCTGCAATGTCTGCTCAACCCAGAGCCACAGACTGAACACTGAGAGGTGCCACTGCTTTCCATCACCTGCCCCTGGTTCCCTGCAGTGTCTGCTCAACCCGGAGCCACACACTGGACCCCGAAACATGCCATGACCATCCCCCCAATCCAGGCTCAGAAGCTGCCAGAGTCGTCCTGGAAACGCACCCATCTGATCACAGCCCTCCCTGTTCAGAGGGGACCCCAAACTCCTGCCCCAAGCTGCCCAGATGGCACCAATGTTCCTTGGGGGGCTGGATCTCAGATCAATGCTGGCCCTTGTGGCTCCGCGAATGCACCGGCTCTCTCCTGCGTCTTAGCCTCTGCACATGCTGTTCCTCCCTGCTGGCACTCCCCTCGCTCCATCTGCTTTGTCTGCAAGTCTTAGCTTCAACAAAGCCTTCCCCTAGTGCGAGACCCCTAGAGTCACTGAGCCCCAAAGGCCCCTCAGTGATCATCAGGTGACGTGATGAGATGCTAGTGGAAAGCCTTGAGACCCCAGACCTGGGGTCACATCCCATGGCCACCACATAATGGCCAGGTGTCTCTGAGCCAATTCCCAAACCTCAGTTTCCTCATCTGTCAGAGGTGGACAACAGTGCCAACCTCACGAGCTTGCACTGGAAGACATGAAAGAGGTTGTACAGTCCAGAGCTATGCTGGACGCTCGGTCAGCTCCATTACCACACTAGCTAATGTCATCACTGTCTGTCCAACAGGACAGTCTCCCTCTCTGAGGATGGTAGTAGGGCTCAAACAAGAAAATGCACTTCAAGTGCTTAGCTCGATATCCAGTACATGCCTGGTAACTGGGAGCAGTTGCTACTGCATCAGAGCATCCAGATTAAACACCTACTGGCAATGTGACCTTAGCAAAGTCGCTTACACCTCTCCCTGCCTTGGTGTCCCCCTCTATGAAATGGGTGTGTTAAATCACTTCAGTCGTGTCCAACTTCTTGTGACCCTATGGACCGCAGGCCACCAGGCTCCTCCGGATTGCCATTTCCTTCTCCAGGGAATCTTCCCGAACCAGGGATTGAACCTGCAATTGTGATGTCTCTTGCATTGGCAGGCAGGTTCTCTACCACCAGCGCCACCTGGGAAGCCCTATGAAATGGGGCCTCACAGGGCTGTTGTGAGGATTAAATGAGTTACCCCAAGGAAACCACTTGCAACATGGTACTCGGTATATGTGTCCTACTCTCCTCACCACTGTCATGGCCAAGGTCACCAGAATGGTTTGCTAACTTACTTCTGTGCTTTACCTGAGGTTGTATCTCCAGGCTCCAGCACAGGGCCAGGTACACATGGGTGAGAACCGAGAGACCCCAGCCGTTCTCTCACACCGCACTGGACTGGCATGGCCAATCACGAGCCTCACTTTTCCCATTTGGTTAAGGGGTGGACAAGACCCTTAAGGCCTTGCAGCTGCTGCTGCCTCCCTTTTTTCACAATAGGTCTGTGTCCTTCTGGAACCTTCCCCCTGCCTTGAGAGGGGCTACTGGTGGTCGGTATCACCGCTGGCCTCAGGGGGGCAGCAGGAACCTACCACACTGCTGGTGTCTGCTGGGCAGCCATCAAAATCCTCCGGCATCCTCTGAGCAGCCGCCAGGGAGGCCAAAGCTAAATAAAGGCCTCCTGGAGCTGCTGGGGGTGGCAGCCGGCCTGACCTGGGCAGAAAACTCAGTGGCGAGAAGAGGCCACAGGTGTCCCTGTTTCCTGCCTTACGCAGAGAGCGGGGGACCCGAGGCTCACAGAACCTGGATGCCACCCAGCTCACTGGAAGGAGCCACGAGAAACCAGGATTGGCAGCTGTTTCTGGGCAAGGGAGCCAGGGAGCTGGAACTGGGAAGACTCACTTGTCCCCTTCTGGAATCTTGGGATTATTTTTTATTTTTCACCATGAGCATGAATTATCCAAGCAATGATGATGACAGGAGCTAAAGTTTCCACAAAGCTTATTACGTTCCAGTGCTGTCCTGCAAGCAGTATACACGTTAAATTCATAAGGTGGTTCTCACAGCAAGCCTATTGGGTGGTACTATTAAGACCACCAGCTGGGGAAACTAAGGCACACAGCAATCAAAACTCACTTCAGGGAACTTCCCTGGTAGTCCAACGGCTAAGACTCTGTGCTCTCGATGCAGGGGGCCCCAGTTCGATCTCTGGTCAGGGAACTATTAATAGATTCCACACGCTGCAACTAAAGATCCGGCACACTGTAACTAAGACCCTGTGCGGTCAAATTAATTTAAAAAACAAAACAAAACAAACCTCACTGGGGACCATGCAGCAAGTCAGTGATATTCAGAAGGAGCAGGATATGAACCCAGTCGGGCAGACCTGCGCTCACAAGGGTACCAGGCTACCTTTTGGCTAATCCCCTCTTCCACTCTTGGTATTGCTTACTCTCTCCTCCCAGGCCCCAAGCCAAGTTCTTTCCAGATCTAATCTCATTTCGTTTTTCATGATGGTCTCATGGAGGCAGGGGGTTCGCTCCCCCAAAGCAGTGATGGTCCTGCGGCAGGGCTGGAGCCCAGGCTGCCAGTCACTGGCAGCTGAACCTCGTGCTGTAGACTCCAGGCTCCTTGCCTCCACTCGTCTCCACGACAGCCCTGGGCCCTCAGCGGTTGGACAGGAAAAGGTTTTGCACCAGGAGGGAGCAGGGCGTGGTGGGAGGAGGACGCTGTATGAGAGCAGGCATGGCCTCCCAAACCAGCAGGACCAAACCTTGTGATACAGATCAACTACGTTAGGAGAACAGGTGTTCCCGAGAATGGGCTTTAGAGCTTTTCGGAGAGCTTTAATATTTCATCATAAAATGTCACACGTGGTAAGAGAGAAATGCTAGAACTTTCTTTTTCCACTCCAGTGGCTTGCCCACCAGGTACACTAGCCAGGGGGAAAGGGTTAGTCACTCAATCATATCCGACTCTTTGCAACCCCATGGACTGTAATCCACCAGGCTTCTCTGTCCATGAGATTCTTCAGGCAAGAATACTGGAGTGGATCACTATTCCCTTCTCCAGGGGATCTTCCCCACTCGGGGATCGAATCTGGGTCTCCAGCACTGCAGGCAGATTCTTTACCATCTGAGCCATCAGGGAAGCCCTAGCCAGGAGGCTGCTGCTTTAAGAAATGGGTTGGACCCAGAACCGGGACCAGATGTAGGCACTGATACTGTGTCTCAGCAGGATGAGGAAGGGCGCTTCTAGGAGTTTCTGGATAAATGACTCCAAGCGGATACATGGGCTATCTTCTATTCTATCTACTATCTATGAGGCCTTCCTAACTGGAAGGTTCTAGGAGGTATATGCCTTAAGTGTGAGAGCATAGCAGGCCTTGGAATGTGGGTGCAGGAGCTCTGAGTTGGTGGAGCAAGAGGTTAGCACACAGGGTCTCAGGAGAGTCATTCTGTTGGCCGGTAAGCACAGCTGAGCGGCAGGGGGGTAGAAAGAACACACAGACTTGGGATTCTGGGGGTCTGTATTTGGGGGAAAATAGATAAAAGAAGGGGCAGTGAATCTGGAATCAGGATGGGAGGGTTCCTTGTAACAGCAGCCTCATTGTGGGTGTCTGAGAACAGCAGACCAAATTTGGGTCAGAAGGGAGATGGGGTGGGTTCGGGTTCTGGACTTGGGTTTGAATGAGGCATTCTGAAGCTGGCAAAAGTTCCCACTGGAAGTCTGTCTTGGGGGTGGGCGGGGACTGGGTGTGCAGTACCAAGGAGGGGCAGGGGTTCTGGTTGGGCAGGAAGCCACGTGGGTAGGGTTTCCTGATGTAATGGGAAATTGGGTCTAACCATACCAGAGGTTGAAGGAGAGCCTCCGGAATTGGAGGCTCCATCAGGGTGGAGGTGGTAGTTCATTCTGAACAGGACCCAGGTTTCAAAATCCCAGGCCTAGATGAGACTGAGGGCCCTGGGGGGAGGGGGTTGTGGGGGTAACCAATCTTTGTTCTATGGGAGGGGTCCTGGATGTGGGTTGGAGTCCCAAGCCAAGAATAGAAATCTCAGGGGAAGACAGAGTTGTTTTATTCAGAGGAGTAAGACTTCTGGATTTGAACCCTAAGGATCCAGAAAAGCAGGTCGCAGAATAGCCTTAAATTATTGGGAACTCTAGGGTTTTGGAGGGCTTCCAGATGGGGCCAGTGGTAAAGAACCTGCCTGCCAATGCAGGAGACATAAAAGAAGCGGGTTCGATCCCTGGATCGAGAAGATCCCCTGGAGAAGAAAATGGTAACCGACTCCAGTATTCTTGCCTGGAGAATCCCAAGGACAGAGAAGCCTGGTGGGCTACAGTCCACGGGGTCACAAAGAGTTGGACACGACTGAATAGACTGCACACAGGGGTTGGGAGGGGCCATGGAACAGCCAAGATCTTAACTGGGTACCCGAGTAGGTTCAGGATCCAGATTCTGAGGTGGAAATCTGGGTGTGAATGGAAGATCCCAAGCAGGGTTGGGAGGCACGTCAAAAGCTTGCCTTGGCAGTCTGAACTCTAAAAAGATGCCGTACAGGTCAACCTGGAGTTTCAAGAAATTGGAAGGGGGGGTGGGGGCGCCGGCATCGCGGGCAAGGAACTCAGAGGTCCCGGCAATTCTATGGCCCCGGAATTGAATCGAGGAACCCTGGGCTATTCGGAAGCCCAGGCTGTAGGGGGCAACCCCAGGTATCAATGGCTGGGCCCCCCGGCAGTATCAGGGGTCAGAACTCTAAAGCGGAGTCCCGGGAGTGGGGGAAGGGGTTGGGCGCGCGCGCTCTACCTGGTGCCGCCAGCGGAAGAGGCTAGCGGTGTCGATGTTGGGGTGCGTCTCGTCTTCATCGTCAGACACCTCGATGTGGTCCCACACGCTGTAGTCCACCATCTTGCCTCGGGGCCCAGCCCTCCCGGGCTCTGGTGGCAGCAGCGGCGGCGGCGGCGGCGGCGGCGGCGGCGGCGGCAGCAGCGGCAACACTGAGACTCAGCCCACGGAGCCCCGCCCCTTCCGCTTCCGCCCGGGCGCGCACGCCCCGCCCGCTCGTGACGTCACATCCCTAGTAACCGCAGCAGCGGCACTGGCGACCGAGTTCTTAAAGAGCCCTGCGCACGTGTTCCGGCTCTCGGGAGTCCGCTGAGACCTCAACCCATTGGGCTTCCGGCCTCCGCTAGGCCCCTCCTAGGGACTTACGGGTGGGTTCTCCAACCTTGAGCCCCCTCATCCCCAGCTAACTCCACGGTGGGCGTTTACCGCAGCCTTGGGGGAGGGGGCAGTTGGAGAGACTGAGAAAGAGGACTGTCCTCTTAGCCACGCCACAGTGACGTCACCCTGAGCCCACTGCTGGGGCTCGGCCTCGGCGAAAAGACCTCGCTCCCGTCTCTTGTGAAGGACTTAACTTTGTGCTGGAGATGGTGCCTGATAGGAAAGGACCTTCCCAGTCCAAGGGGTACAGGCCCTGCTCTGGGAGGGTCTAAGTGAAGGAAGGTTATGGCCCTGCCCTCGAGGAGTCGAGACGGGGGCGATGTGGCCCTGCCCTGAGAACTGGTGTTACCTTGGCTCGAACCACAGCTTCCCCTCTCGCCTCCCCCATCTTCTGCCACTTCCTTAGCGGGGATTCGCGCATACACGCCCCCTCTGGAATCACCCGGAGCGCACTTAACGGGCCTCGGGAGCCTGTCCACGGCGGCTCCCCTTGCGTCCGCTGGGTGTCGCCAGTGTCTAATTAGCGGCCAGTGCTGCTGGCCCAGCGCCAGGTGGGGGAGGGATGGGAGAGCTCGGAAGTGCGCTTGCAGGGGGTCTTTCTCCGTCGAGGTACTCCGGGACTCCTCGCAGTCCCTCCCCCTTTCGTCTGGGATCCCCTTCCACGTCCCGGACTCTAAGAACTCCATTACACTGAGCTTGGGTGACCGCAGCCACACACTTTCATATATCCCTACCCATGCTTCGATACCGGGATAAAAGGCTGCGTTGCAGCCTAGGGCCAGGATTATCTCAGATTAAAGGGCGGGGGACAGGGAGAATGGGAGGAGATTCAGCCACTTGAGTGAAGGGCGCCTCTTCCAGACTCCCCCCAACCAAGCAGGCGTTTGGGAGGCCGCTGGAGAGAAAGGAGTAAAGGTCTTTAAATGGGTGGGGTGTGGGGGATTCCCCGGCCCCGGGAAGGGGTGGGGCCATCCGGACAAAAGCGCCCGCCTGCTGCCGCCCCTCCCCCTCACGGTCCATTCAAACCCGCGAGTAGGCGGGCGGGGGCGGGGGAGTCCCCCTTTCCTCCTCCTCCTCCAACCCTGGCAGTTCAACATCACAGCGGCCGTCAAGGCCCTGGTACGCGCGCGCACGGACCTACATCCCAGCGGGGCTCCCGATCTCACACATACACACACACACACACACACACACACACACACACCGGCTAACAAAGGGTCTGGACACCCCGGTCCCCTCCCGCCCCCCAGGTCGGAGAGGGCGGGGCATCCCCTCCCCAGCCCCCCTGCAAGGTAAGCTTTGGACTATGACTGCGGCCGGGAGGGGGACCTGGTGCCCAGGAGGGAGGGGCTCTGGGCGGGGAGGGGGGACTTCCATCGCCCCCCAAGAAAGTCAGGGCCCCCCCACGTAGCCGGTTGAGGGCTTCAGGCTGGCCTCCAGGCTGAGGGTATGTAGGCAGGACCCCGAATTGGGATTCCCGGGAAGGCGCGCGGGGCGGGGGGCGGGGGGGGGCAGGTTGGGGGCGGGGGTGTCTCTACCTAGCTTCGGAGACTGGAGCTTCCTGGCCCCAATGAATCAGGGTCCCAGGAGCGCCAGCTCCCAGAAGTGGGGACAGGGCGCCGGAAGCTCCCCCATCAGCACCAGGCTTTTACTAATCTCCTGCCGACGCAGCATCTCCACTCCTGGGGACTGAGACAGAGACCCCTGAGTTGCTTCGCACTGTCCCTCGCCCTCGCAACCACCCACCCCCCATCAGCGCATCTCCAGCTGGATGTGTGGTATCTGTGTGCTGGGGGTGGGGGGCTGGGAATGCTCCTCTGGGCTCCCAGGCTTCCTCTGCTGCATCCCACAGCCACACACTGCTTAGCTGCGGTTGTGGGACTGGGCAAACGGCTTTGCCTTCCTGAGCCTCAATTTCCTCATCTGCAGAGTGGGTAATGACTCACCCAGGATTGGGGGAGGTCTTGTTTTCGAGTCTGCATTAGTCCATCATTTATTTTCAAGCTCTTTCCACACGTATTTCCCAAGTGCCTACTGTATGCCAGGGCCCTGTGGTGGGGTGGTCAAACTACAGCAACCAAAGAGACCAGCTGGGTCCCAGCTTGGCTGACCCTGGAGACTGCTGAGGGAGCAAGATCAGTATGTGAACAGAGAAATCCCCTCAGTGATTTTCGACTGAAGACTAAAATTCCATGAGGCATGGAGAGTGATTTCAGGGGAGGGTGTTCGAGATTCAATGAAATTTTATGGTTTGTATCTGCCTTCATCATTCACTTTCTGCTCCACGGGGGCAGGGCCAGTCTAGAAGAGTGCCTGGTACACAATAGGTGCATAATAAATATTGAATTAATTAAAGAGGGAATTTGATTGAAACTATTTTCATAGTGCTTTAGGTCAGGAAGGAGGCTAGTCATGAACCAACCCATCCTCTCTCCCATGTTACAGATGAGGCAAGTGAGTCCCTTAGACCCAGAAAAGGGGAAAGATGTCATCAAAGGCAGTACAGGAAGTTGATGGGATGTTGTCATTCCCATACAAGTGAGGATGGCTGAAGAAATGGTTGTGAACAGCCAGGAATAGAAGAAAATAGAGACCAGACTTGAGCACAGGTCCCTCCAGGAACCCATGACATCTCTCAGCCCCTATCTCTCTCCTCATACCACACAGACACAGCCCTATGTTCACCCATTCAAAGAGTACTTACTCAGGGTCTACTATGTACCCAGTGCTCAGGACATAGCAGTGAACAGAACAAAACCCCCTACCCCCGTGGAGGTGACATTTAGTAGAGGAATCAGTGAAGAAACAACATAAATATATAACAACAAACTGCTTCCCCGGTGGTTCAGCGGTAAAGAATCTGCCTGCAACGCAGGAGGTACAGGAGACAGTTTCCATCCCTGGGTCAGGAAGATCCCCTGGAGGAGGAAATGGCAACCCACTCCAATATTCTTGCCTGGAGAATTCCACGGACAGAGAAGCCTGACAGGCTGCAGTCCAGGGGTCACAAAGAATGAAACCCGATTGAGTGACTGAAAAATTCAATTCACAAAAAAGAGAAAAGTTGAGGAGTTCACTTTGGGATGCGTATCCAGGAAGACCTCCCAGAAGAGTTGTATTACTCCTCAAACACACACACACATACTTTGATCCAGACAAATGTAGTCACGCAAACACCATATACAGGCTGAAGAACCAAAAGTGCCCAAGGATGCATAGCTACTGGGTGGCTGTACAAAGATCTGAACCCAGAATCCACATTTCTGACCAGTGTAAAACGCTGCTTCCTGCTGCATCCATATGCATGCACCCTCCTCACCTGTGTGCGTGCACACACACACACACACACACAGAGCCAGCCTCATGCCCACATAGACTGATGTGGTATCACTTTGTCACATACACGCACTCCTGCAAGTATGGTCTGATCTCATCTACACAATACTCAGACTCCCAGAGAGTTCTCCCCATCCAGTTGCAAATGGACAGCCATGTGCAAAATCTCATGATCACATACATGCACATGCACACACACATATGCCCCGTGGGGAGGGGGTGGAGCTGAGTCCTTCCCAGCTCCAAGGCATGGAGCTTGGGTAGTCACTGTCCCTCCTTAGACCTGAATGATCTGGGCAAGCTGCAGACAAGGGCATTTATCCTCATTTCCATCCCTCTCTGGCCACCCATCGCTGTGTCCTCCTGAAGGTGGTAGGGGCTGGGTGAAGCCAGTGCTCTGTCAGGCCAGGCCAGGAGCACCGAGCAGCTGGGGGAGTCAGGAGGCCCCTCCTCAGCCTGAGCCTGCTTAGCCATCTGGACCCCCTCCTCAGTGGGCTGCTGCCCAGGGTTGGGGGAAGGCAGGTTTAGCGGCTCCCCCTCCACCTGGGCGCTCAGGCCAGTTTCTGAGGACCTGCCTCCCATGCCCAGGTTTCTGCCAGGGCTGATTTCTACAAAGATGCACAAGTGTCTAGGCAGTGGTGGCATGTGTGTGTCTCCACCTCCACCCCCTGACCTCCTCCACTCCTTCCTTCATTCCACAAATCCTTGAACACCTACCATGGGCTGTTCTGGGCACTGAGGATACAGCCAGAATCAGCTACAGAATTTTGCAGAGCCCAGGGCCAGATGAAAATGCAAGACCCCTGTTTAAAATTATTATTATTAAGGGATTTCTCTGACAGTCCAGTGTCTAAGACTCTGAACTTCCAGTGCAGGGAGAGTGAGTTCAATCCCTGATTGGGGAACTAAGACCCCACATGCTGAGTGGCCAAAAATTATTTTTTCATTAAAAAAAATTTTTTTTAATGTAAGAATTTAGACCACGACAAGACCACGACAGTAGCACATTAAACCTTCTAAGCATGGGGGCCTGTGTGACTGCTCAGGTCATGTGTTCATGATGCTGGACCTACAACAAGACAGAAAAATCCCCTGACCTAATGGAATTAAGGGGCAGGGCAAGCAAAAACATAAATATATAATACCCCAGGGGCGATGAATGCTGAGGAGAGAAACAAAGCTGACTGAGAGGTAGAAGGAGATGGGGTAGGGGTAGGCATCCATGTCAGGAAGGCCTCGAAAAGAGGTAACTTTGAGCAGAGAGATGAAGGAGGTAAGGGAGTCAAGCGGTTGTATTTATCCACTCAAGAGACATTTGTTGAGCACCTGCTGTCTACCAGCATTGTCCAAGATCCTGGAGATTTAGCAGGGGACAAAACAGACCAACATATTGACCTCATGTCTTAATCAAAGGACAGGCAATAGCTAATAAAAGAATAAGTAAATTATATATCTTGTTAGAACGTGATCATTCTAACACAAAATTAAGGCAGAGTCAGGGAGATTGAGGGTGGGAAGAGCACAGGATATCTGAGGGTGGTTTTCCAGGGGAGGGAAGATCAAGCATAAAGGCCCTAAGATCAAAATATGCTCAAAGTGTTTGAGGAACAGGGAGCAGTCCAGTGGGATGAGGGGCAGGATGGGAGGAATCTCTGTTAATGTGCTGCTAAGTCGATTCATTCATGTCCAATTCTTTGGGACCCTATTGTCTGTGGCCCTCCAGGCTCCTCTGTCCATGGGATTCTCCAGGCAAGAATACTGGAGTAAGCTGCCATGCCCTCCTCCAGGGGATCTTCCTGGCCCAGTGATCGAACCTGCATCTCTTATGTCTCCTGCACTGGCAGGAGGGTTTTTTATCACTAGCGTCACCTGGGACTATGTCTATAGCTCCACTGAATCAACAACAGTGATAATATTATTATGATAGTGGCCACTGATCCATGAGCACATACTACAAACCAGGCACTGTGCTCAGAACCTTACATGCATTACTTCACTTCATCTTCACAACAACCTCCTCAGGTAGGTAGGAATGCTATCCCCATTTTACAATGGAAACTGAAGATCAGGAAACTGAAGCTCAAAGAGGCTGGGAAACTTGCCCCCAGATAAACAGCTAATGAGGAGAGGTATAGTCACGATTTGAATACAGGTCAATGTTAACACGGGAGCCTAAGCATGGCCCTTACTACGTGACCCTTTTTCTGCCTGTCTGAGCATATGTGTCTGGTCTGTCTACATACAGAGGAGAAGGTGCCTCTTTCTCTTTATGCTAATTTGTTCCCTCATTTATTCTTTCAGCATTCATTGAGACTATGTGCAGGGGACCATGATGAATGGGTACCATTTCTTGCCCTCACAGAGCTGTAGTGGGAAATAAAATATAACCTCAAACGATGAGTGCTTTAATAGGGGTAGAATAAGCAGCAGTGGGAGCCCAGAAAACTGACGGATTGAGTCTGGTAGAGAAGTGAAGGTGACCATTGAACAATATTCATACATACATCCATTTGTTCAACAGCTGTCTGTCATGAGCTTGCCTGGTGCTAAGTACTATGTGGGTGAGATGATGTTTATTCTCATTTCTACTAGTTCACACTGAACTGAAGTGCTATAGCTAGAGCTATAAGGCAAGAAAAAGTAATAAGAGCCAATGTAGGGAGTAATGTGGCCAGTCCATAGTAGACTTGCTAGGAACTTAATAAATATGCTCTTGAGTCCTCAAAATAATAACCAGACGGTGAACAAAAACTTATTAAGAGACTACTATGTTCCAGTTTCAGTTCTAGGCACTGTGCATATAGCAATTAATAAAACAGATAAAATATTTTTGTCCTCCTGCAGCTGGTATTCTAGTGTAGAACAAGACCAACAATACATGTAATAAGTAAATTACATAATATGTATTTAGGTGATAAATTCTATGAAAAAAATACAACAGGATAAGAAAATTCAGGAATCCTGAGGGGCTAGCAACTTTAAACAGCAGTGGGGAGGTGAGAAATACTGAAGAGGTGAGATGTTAACAAAGACCTGAAGGATGTGAGGGAGCTGTGGATATTTAAGGCAGAGGGAACAGAAAGTGCACAGGCTCTGAGGCTAGAGAATGCCGAGTGTGTCCAGAAACAGTCAAGGAGCCAGTGTAGATGGAACAGAGTCAGCCTAGGGGAGAGTGGGAGGAATGAGACAGAGACATTATGCAGGACTCTGTGAGCCTCTTGTTGAGGACTTCGATGTTTCCTCTGAAGAAGGTGAAAGCCATGGAGGGCTCTGAGCAGCGGAGGGTCATGATCTGATGTGGGTTCTAACGGGCTCCCACAGGCTCAGATACTTTGGCCACCTGATGCAAAGAGCTGACACCCTGGAAACGACCTGATGCTGGGAAAGACTGAGGGCAGGAGGAGAAGGGGACGACAGAGGATGAGATGTGGTTGGATGGCATCACCGACTCAGTGGACATGAATTTGAGCAAGCTCTGGAAAATGGTGAAGGACAGGGAAGCCTGGTGAGCTGCAGTCCTTGGCATCGCCAAGAATCCGACAGGACTTAGCGACTGAACAGCAACAGGCTCAGATGTCAATAGCATTTATTAAGCAATTACTGAGTGTCAAACAGTTCTGCAAGAATTCAACATGGTCTGATCTCATTTCATTCTCATATAGAACCTGTAAGAATTACCATTCCATTTCACAGAGGTGAAACAGGCTCAGAGAGTTTAATGCACTGACCTACGGCCACACAGCCATAATTTGCAGCGCCTGGGTGCAAAGGTTCAGCGAGCCAGGCTTCCCCTCCACCAAGCTTTTAGATAGGGATTGCCGGCAGCAGAGCGCACTCATCACCGGGAGTTGCGTCTGTGTCCCTGTCTGTCTGTTTCTATTTCCACGCGTCCCTGTCTGTCTCCGCGCGCCTCTGCCTGCGCGTCCCCCATCTGTGCCCAAACCGCCGTCTCGCTGCGCCCGGCCCCCGCACATCGGAGCTATTTCGGGTTCAGGCATAAAAGCCCAACAGCTCGGAGGAGACGCTTCCTCCGGCCCCCAGCTCAGACCACGCGCCACACGTGGCCGGCTCTGGGAGCTCCCGGTCTTCTCTGAGGGATCCCCAGGCTGGGGAAGCCCCCGCAGGAGGACCGGTGGGGGCTGGGGCGACCCGGGCCCGAGGCTCCCGGCCCCCCAGTGGCCAATCTAGGCATTGACACGGTTCAGAGCCCGGCCGTGCGTCAGCTGTTGCTCTGGCAACATGCGTGCAACGTCACCAACAGGCAGTGCGTCAGTCACCTGCTGACGTCACGCCCCGGGAGAGGCAATTGGCGAGGGGCGGGGGTGGATTCCATGCTCAGCCCGCAGGGGGAGCCCCAGGGCTCTAATGGCAGACGCCTTTGGCCTGGTCCTGTAGGAGGCGCTAGCCGGGGCTGACATGGAGCGTGAAGCACCCGAGGCGCGCTAGTTTGGCGAGATGAAGAGGAGTCGCAGTGTCCTGTCGGTGGCTGGAACCGGGGACGAGGTGTGAGGGGCGGGGCCCGGGCTGGGGACGAGGTTTGGGTTGGGGGTCCGGAGCCCCCCTAGTGACCACAGCTGCTCCCTAAGCCTGGCTCCACTTCCTCGAGGCAGCAAGCCTTGTCCCTTCGTGCCTCAGTTTACTCCCTTGACTTCATTATTCTGCTGCTGCCCGGATTAAGAGGCTCTTAGCCCAGGGGTAGAAGGCAGGGCCTTCGAGGGGTTTTCCCAGTAGGGAGAGGATTGTAGAGTGGGTGCGGGTAGTTGCTGGGGGTGAGGTCTCAGGGTCTCAGATGTAAGGAAGGGAGGAGGCCACATACATGTAGACCAAGAAGACGTGGAGGGTGGTGATGTGTTAGAAGGGTTTCGTGGTGAGGACGGACTACAGGCATGAGGGCCCAGAAGCCCCAGGATGGAGATATCAAAAGGGAACCCCACAAAAATTATGGCTGAGAAAGGGCACCTTTCAGGTGTAAGAGCTGGGAACGCTCCCTCTGTGAGAGGGATGTTAAGATGGGAGCGGGGCACAGAAGCCTAAATCCCCATAGGTGACTCTCTCAGATGGCCAGGGAGGCACGTTACTGTGGGGAGGAACTCAGAGCTGCCTGACCAGGCTGTACCCCTATCCCACCCTTGTCTCACCTCAGAGGCCTCGAGAGACCCCCGAGCCGGGCCAAGCCAACATGCTGGGGGCTGACCTCCGACGCCCTCGCCGACGACTCTCCACGGGTCCAGGCCTAGGCTGGGCTGAACCTGAGCCCTTGGACCGTGGGGACCCTCTGACGCTTCGGCCCACCACTCTGCCGCTGCTGATCCCTCCGCGAATTTCCATCACCAAAGCTGACAGGTAGGTGGGTGGTGGACCAGGCTGGGAGGTGGGAATGGAGGAACAGGGCCAGCTGGGCTAACTCCAGCCACCAGTCCTTTCCTTTGCTCCAGGCTCCTGACTTCCTGCGGAGAAGGCAATGGCAACCCACTCCAGTACTCTTGCCTGGAAAATCCCATGGACGGAGGAACCTGGTGGGCTGCAGTCCATGGGGTCGCTAAGAATCAGACACGGCTAAGCGACTTCACTTTCACTTTTCCCTTTCATGCATTGGAGAAGGAAATGGCAACCCACTCCAGTGTTCTTGCCTGGAGAATCCCAGGAGCCTGGTGGGCTGCCGTCTATGGGGTCACACAGAGTCCGACAGGACTGAAGTGATTTAGCAGCAGCAGCAGCAGCAGCCTGGCTTCCTGAGTTTTGCAAAAACCAGCTGAAACTTCTCCTGGAGCCTGGTGGATCAGATTGTGACATCCCGCCACTCCCAAGTGGCACCTCTTGCAGCCTTTAGAGGAACCCCTTCTTCCATTTTTCAGCTGCCTCCACCAGCAAGGGGCAGGGTTTCAGAAAGGGTTTGGACCCTCCAGTCTGCAAGAATGCTCCCATAATTAGAAAGCTGGGACAGGTTAGGGAGTACACGTCCCACCAATCTGTGTGCACCTCTATTTCCCTTTCTAAGAGGATGTCATTTCTTCAAGGCCTTAAAAGGGGATGGTGGGACACTGGAAGCAGTCTGGACTGGCATTTTTCTTTCTTCTGAGCCTAGCTTCACACTGAATTTCCTTGCTTTTTCTCATCTGGGGTCCTCAGAGGGTACTTCAACCCTCCTCTTGGCCCAAGGATGAATCTGAAAGCCAGATGACTGAGCTAGTCCTGGCTGCTGGCGGGCCCCACTGCCCTCCTCGGGCCACTGTTCTCTGCAGCCTCAATCTCCCCGCCCACCCCTTTGTCTACGCAGTCAGAGGGCTCCAGGGTCTCTGCTTGGGTCATGCTACAGTGATTCATTTCCAGATGAGGGAAGAAGTGACTGTCATTCTCCTCTCCAAATGACTTAATGACCCCCCCCCCAAATCCCTCTAGCCTCTTTCCGGCCACAGATCCAGTGACCTGCTCTGGCCCACTCACTGCCTTGGGCCTTCCTTTTTCTGCCACCCCCGCTGTAACCTGACCCGCCCCCCATTTACCCCACTGTGAGCTTTGACCAACCCAACAGCACCCCTGACCCCAAGAACTTGGTCCAACCCAAGAGGCTCAAGTGATTTGGGAGGACCCACAGCCCTTATGGATCCCCTAGAAGGCTTTTTTGGGTGTGCACTTGTGGGGAGGGTCCCCGAGAGAAGTAGGGGACACAGTTATGGCCTCTGGGACATTCAGCAGCTGCTAATGGCAGGGCGGTTCTAGCTCCGCGTTCGCCCACGCCTGGAGCCCCCTCTGGCAGGGAGAAAAGCGGCTGTGGGGGTTGGAGCTTTCGCTCTCTCTCTCTCTCTCTCTCTCTCTCTCTTTTTAATAAGAACAGTGCGGAGGGAGGGCGGTGGCAGACGGCACGGCCTGCCCGGGGGAGCCCTTGAGGGGGGCGCACGGGGGCGGGGCCTGATTTCGTGGACTGACTTCCGAGCTCCTTAATCCGAGCGCGCATCAGCCCGGGGCACCGGCGGAGGATGGGGCACAGGGGTGTGTGCACGGCCCTCTGCCCCGCAGCCTCCTTCACCAGGGCTCGGCCCCGGGCCGGGGCGGGGGGAAGGGAGGGCTCTCGGATCCCGCTAGCTCTTTGCTCGCTCGCGCTCGGCGCGGCGCTGGGGGAGGCGGGAGCGTGAGTCACGGCGACTCCCGATTTAGGTTCCGGAAGGGGGGCTCTGCCGGCGGGGGCAGCGGGGAGGAGGCGCGGCTGTTTACTCGCCTGAAAAGGGCACAGGAGTGCGTCCCGCGGCTGCCCGGGACCTGCCTCAGTTTACCTCCTGCAGAAGCTCTTTAGAAGAGGCAGCGACGCACAGAGCGGTGGGCGGGCAGTCGGGGTATCAGCCACCGGGTATCCTCCCGGAGCCACACAGAAACCAAAGGGAAACACCTCAAAGCGGCCCCAGGTCGACCACACACACACACACACCAACACAGGTTGACTCTCTCAGACACCAGTCAAACAACAGAGGCAGAGTCGAGTGCAAAACTCCGCAAGCGCGGACCGACCACATTACACACACACCCAATCGCGTGCGAACACAGGTACAGCTCCCAGGCCACCAGAACAGACCCTATAGAGGCGCACACCCTCCAAACAGGCAGCACACGTGCACACACTCAGACATACACACGCAGATACACGCACAGCGAAATCCAGATAAACAGGCAGATCGCAGCAGCCAACCACGTGCGCGCACACACTTCGAGCTGACAACGAAAACACAGACAAACCCTCGGAAGAGGCCACGTGCGCGCACATCCCGCCCCGGGCACACACCATCGCCATCCCGCGACCCACCAACAGGAGACTCCCCGAACACCGTCGCAGCCCGCTGCAGGGACCGCGTCCGTGTTACCGGACCACTCCTCACCAGCTCCCCCTGGCCAGAGGTAGCGGCGAGGAAAAGTCCGCACTGGGCTCCGCCCCCACCATGATGGACAGACTGACTGACACACCGGCAACCAGTCGGGTGTCTCCTTCATGATCGGATTAACCGTTTAACTCCTTGGTACCCGTGTGCACCGCGGCTAAGGCAGGGCGCTCTGGAGAGAGCCGAGTTCCGGCTCCCCCTCCCCGCGGGGAGCGGGGCTTTGCGTGGGCGGGAAGGGCCCCCTCCTTGGGTGGCTGCCCCCCACTGGCCCGGACGGAGGAGGAGTGGGGCGGTGCTGACAGCCGCGGCGGGCGCGGGGCGGGGAGAGGCGGGACGGGGCGGGGGAGCCTGGGCTGGTTCCGAGCGGGACGCTGAACGCCGAGAGCGCTGCCGAGCATCGAGCGGAGAGCCAAGGCGCCGACAGGAAGCCTCCGCGCCCGGCCCGGGGGCGAACGGCCCGCAGCGCCCCCGGGTCTCTCCCCGGGACGCCATGGCCCCACCGAGGCCAGGCGCACCTGCGGGACCCCGGGCGCATCAGCTCGCGCGCAGCTGAACAGGGTGCATTTTGGAGAGGCCAGGGCCCCCTGGGGTGCAAGTGGGGGCCGGGGCCATGGAGCCCCCGGCCGTCCCCTCGGAGAGAAGCCTGTCTCTGTCTCTGCCTGGGCCCCGGGAGGGCCAGGCCACCCTGAAGCCGCCCCCCCAGCACCTGTGGCGGCAACCGCGGACCCCCATCCGTATCCAGCAGCGCGGCTACTCGGACAGCGCGGAGCGCGCTGAGCCCGAGCGGCCGCCACACCGGCCCATAGAGCGTGCCGACGCCGTGGACACCGGCGACCGGCCCGGCCTGCGCACATCCCGCATGTCCTGGCCCTCGTCCTTTCACGGCAGCGGCAGCGGCAGCGCGGGCGGAGGCAGCTGCAGGCGGTAAGACTACGAGCTGCGGACGCGCGCGGAGCGGATAGGCGCGCAGAGGGGACGCAACTCTCCCCACTGACCGCAGGGGGCGCTGTGCTGCGGGTGGGGTCAGTGTGACTGACGGGGACCGAAGGGGAGTTCTGCGGGGGCGTCCAGGACCTGGGCCCCCTGATCGTGCTCCGCAAGCGAGGCGTCCAACTGAAGCTGATCCCGGGGTCAACTTAGGAGGCGCCATGCTGTGTGTGTTGTTAACGGGTATTTTAGTTGAAGGCTGCAACTTTAGCTGTCTACGGTGACAGAGCAAGACAATGGCTAGGCTGGGAACCACTCGACCGGGCTTTCCTGGGGACGCTGTTTTAAGGGCTAGATTCATTATGTTTGGGGAACTCTGTAGCAGGGGGGTGCCTGCTAGGACCACAATGCTTCCTGCAGACTGGAGAGCCCTCAGAGTCCTTCTGGAGCCGGCAAGAGCCTATTGGGAGCGGGATTCCTGGACTGGCACTGCAGCGGGGGTCAGTAATCTAAAGGGGGCCTCTGAGGGAGCCCTGTGTTGGGGGGCTGTGCGCTATGTGGGAGCCCCCTCTCAGGGCAGGAATGTTAGGGTTCAGTAGCTGCCTAGAGGGAAGGTGCAGTATTCAGGGGGTGCATAGTCCCAACACAGGGTGAGGGAGTCCCTGCCTCCTCTGGTGACAGTGATGAGGTGTGTTGGGTACCCTCTCATTGACCTGAATTGGTCATCCAGCTGTTGGGAATGGCCAGCCGTGGCTGCATGCTCTGCCTGGGTTTCTGGGGTCCTGTGATTGTCTGCCACAGCATAACTGTGCATGTTTCCAGGATAGTGTAGTTTGTGACATGCTGACTACGTGCTCCCAGGAGAGTGATTGTTGGCTGTGTGACTTGTGTGCTTCAGGGACTTGGTGATGGGGGACCCTATGACTGGGTGTGCTTCCAGGTCTGTGCTTATGTGGCTATGTGCTTCTGGTACAGTGACTCTGATGGTGACTTCATGTAGCCCTGGGGCACAGTGACTTTGCAGGGTGACTCTGTGTGCCCCTGGGATGCTGGGATTATGGCAGCAGGGTTGTGCGTGTTACTGGAACACTGCCATTGTCACAGCATGGTTGTATGTGTTCACAGGACACTGCGATTGTGTCACTGTGAGTGCCCATAAGACATGGTGACTGTCACAGAGTGACTGTCTGCTCCTGGGACAGTGATTACAACAAGGTGATGGTGTGTCTCTGGGGCAGGGATGGTGACAGACCCGGGACAGACTCCTGGGACCGTCATTAAGACAGAGTGACTGTAGGGCAGTGATGGTGACGGAGTGTCTCTGGGATGCAGTGATGGCTGCCCTGTGATGTGTATACTCCTGGGGGCCATGTGATCGTGTCAACAGGACGTCCGTGCTCCCTGGGACACTATGACTGAGATGCTGCTCTAGGCTGCTTGTGCCCCGTGTGTGGGTGTTGGCGCTCTGACTTTTGGGGTGTGCTTCCGACTGCCTGGCATGCCGAGCTCTAATTGCCTGGTGTTCCTATGATGCTCTAGCATCTGACC